GCCACCTTCAGTGTATGTGGCTGGTGCCTTAGCCACTTGAGCCACAGGCGCCGATCCCGCCCCCCCCTTTTTTTTTCAGACAGAGTCTCAAGCTGTTGCCCTAGATAGAGTGCGGTGGCGTTATAGCTTACAACAATCTCCAACTTTTGGGCTCAAGCAATCCTCTTGCCTCAGTTTTTCTATTTTTAGTAGAGACAGGGTCTCACTCTTGCTTGGGCTGGTCTCAAACTCGTGAGCTCAAGCAGTCCACCGCCTCGGCTTCCCAGAGTGCTAATTATAGGCGTGAGCCACCGCACCCAGCCACTTTTCAGACTTTTGAAACAGGAATTCGAGAGACGAAAACTGTGCTAATGTTGGTTTTGTGGTGGGGCTTTCCACAGCTGATACACAGGAAAAATAATCAATAGGAAACTTCCTTAACAGACCCCTAGATCGAGGCTTGGCTGTTCACTACAATTTAGCCAAGTCTTTGGCTTTTATTTTAGCTGCTTACTTCTGTTTTTTGTTGGTATAATTGCTCTCTCTGCAAAAGCAATGAATCGAGAATTCTCCCTAAGGTCAGCATTTAATTTTTGCCTCGCTCTGGCTGCTATAGTATTACAATTCTTGAAATAATACAGCATCGATCCTACTATTAAGTTTGCCTGGAGCATGCCAGCACGTCGGACACCGGTGTTCCAGCGACTGCCTCAGTCACTCAATCAAGCAGGAGGCTCATTTGGCAATTTACTATCTTTGTGGGCGGTGGCCGAGGCGTGGAACCTATCCGATGCCTAGATTGGGTCCTACCCGCGTCCGTCATTGGAAGGCTCTTGGCACTCGCGGTAGGATTTGGAAAATGAGCAATGCCTCTGGAAAAGAGCAGAGTGGGCGGTGAGGAGAGACATCGTGTGCATTTCGCTCCTCATTGGATAGCTGCTCTGTCACTCATACTCTGCTCCGGTAGGTGGAAAAGCTCCAGGGCGGGTATCGTGGACTCCGTACTGCCCTCCTCCAAGATAGGATCCAGACGCGTGACGTCTCAGACATTTGTTGTTGGGGTTTGGGCCTCATTAATTATTCATTAAGTTCTTGAGAGGGTTACAGCGATTGGTGGCTGAGGGACCTAGTCGATTGTTTCTTAGCTAAAAATACGTGTCGCATCGTACGCGCCTGGAGAAGCTCCGCATAAATTATTCTGATAGGGAGGGGCGGGGCCACGCATATATTAGTCAAATGAGCCAGGGAGGGAGGGAAGCCGGCTGCGAATTAGCCTAAGTTATTAAAGATGGCGGCAGAGCGGAGTCGCTCTCCGATGGACTCGCCGGTTCCGGCCTCAATGTTCGCCCCCGAGCCCAGCTCCCCGGGGGCAGCCAGGGCCGCGGCGGCCGCCGCCCGACTCCACGGCGGCTTCGATTCGGACTGCAGCGAAGACGGCGAGGCGCTCAATGGCGAGCCGGAGCTGGACCTCACCAGCAAGGTAGGCCCTGGCGGCGGCGGCGGGCGCTGAGGGGAGGCGGGCGGCGGGCCGAGCCTTCTCCTGGGCTACGGCGGGGCCAGCTGGTGGCCGGTCCTCGAGAGAGGGCGGGGCAGGGGGTAACTGGGCCGAGTTCGCCCACCTGCCGGTCTCCGGGATGAACTGGGGCTTGCTGCGCTAGGGGCGCCCCCAGAGTCCTCCGCTGCCGCCTAGTTCCCCGGCGGCCCCAACACAGCCTCCTGCCCCCCACGGAGATCGCAGCCCCTCGGCTCCGCCACGTGGAACGGGGGCGCCCGACGCCGGCAGCGCTCTGCGAGGTCCTAGTCCCCGCGCCGAGCCCCTCCCGCTTCCTCCGGTTTCCCCTGGTAAGGAACCCGGAGATAGAGAGCGGTCCTCTCCCTGGGCCGCGCGGGACAGCTGAAGATCCAAGTAGCTTGGGCAGCGGGCGGGATGCTCGGGAAGACAGGTAGTGGGAGGTCATGGGAAGGGTGGCAGCCGCGCCTCTTCCTAGACTCAGGAAAGGAAACAAAGTAGTCGCTCAGCTGGGGACAAGGATGTCAGGGAATGTCTGCTTTGTGAGTCCACCCAAAACAAAAAGGAAAGTGGACAGGACCCATAACTCCCATTCTGGGAGCGGAACCTAATCTTGTATGAATGGAATAATAAAGGAAATTTTAAATCGTGTCTTCTGAGCTGTCGACAAGGTAGGCAAGAATGAAGAAGGGCTCACCATCTGTTTGGCATTGTGGCGAATAAAAACAATAAGTATAAGATATGACTGGTGTTTTGAGGGCGCTTAACGTTGACATCGCTTGAAGAAGAATGCCAACTTGGGAGTCAGACAGGGCTGGGTTCCGTTTCCTGCCCTGCCATTAAAAGGCTCTGTGACCTTGGGAAAGTTTCTTAACCTCTCAGTTCTCAAATAACCTCATTTTAAGGAAGTGCAGATGCATTGTCAAAATGTAAATACTGGAAGTGAACTGGATAGCTGATAATTCCCAGTGCAGATTAAATAGCAGCAGATGTAAGGTGGAACGTTGATACCACCTCCTCCTACCTGTTGCAGGGTAGCTCCCATAGAGAGTTTATCCAAACTCTCTAAATGTTTATGACATATCTCAAAAATGTTTATGGCTTTTCATAGTTTATGGTGGCAAAATTCATGAAACTTGGAATTAAAGTGGAGAGAACTTTCTTTGCAACTTAAGCAAACTACACTCTTTTCAGCTGCTCATTTTCCCTGTACTCTTAGCTATGGATGTAGAAGCCAGCCAGCTCCTCCTTGTCACAGTGGTCCTGTCTGGTGCCTCTGATGCTATTATGAGGTTGGCCAAGCTCAAAGAGAGGGCCAGCAGGTCAGGGAAAATGTGAAAGGCAATGTGATGTAATATAAAAGACCCAGGCAGCATCCAAGTTACAATTACAAGCCTTGATGGAGGTGATAAGATTATGCACTTGACTTAAAAGCACAGGAGCTGGGTGTCAGTACCTGGTCAAGGTGCTGAAGAAATGCAGTAGGAAATTGCAGGGCAGAGTTGCAAAGAGGGTAGTACCTTCATTTCCTGACTGACTTATTTAGTGTTCCTGGATTGGGAAGTATTACTTCATCACATAGCTGGGGAAGTCCTCACAATGTTGAAATTGAGAATATGTATAAAAACACTGATGGTATTGAAAGGAAGAACTGATGTTGTGGAGGGAGAGAAGGGATGGGTTGAATAGATTGATTACTGAGGAAAAGATTAGAAGCTAGAAGTTTATTTACTTACTACAATTAAATGTGAGGACCTAAGGCTCCAGGAGCTTCCAAAGGGAGAAACAGTGAACAGTGTGGCTAATTTCATCCAAGGACCTTTTTCTAGAAATGATTGGATGAAGAAAACTTTGTAGTTACCATTTTGAGGTGTGGACTGGATGCATTTTGAGGTGTGGCCATAGGATAGAGGTAGTTCTGATTGAAAAACTGAGACTCAGAGGTTAAGTTCTTTGTCCAAGGTCACACAGGAGTGGTTTAGAGAACGGGGTCTGACGTGCCTATTGGTAAATGGCTATCTCTGTTAGTGACGGATACTTGAATGTTATTAGCAGAGGTTTGCAAAGTGTTGGTGCTGATATTCACCTTAGTGGTAATGATGTTTGTTGATGAAAATGAGTTGTGCAGGGGCAGCGCCTGTGGCTCAAGAAGTAGGGCGCGGGTCCCATATACTGGAGGTGGTGGGTTCAAACCCCGCCCCGGCCAAAAACTGCAATAAATAAATAAATACATGAACTGTTTAAAAAAAAAAAAGTTAAAAAAAAAAAGAAAATGAGTTGTGCAGACAATTTTCTTTTTTTTTTTCTTGAGACAGAGTCTCACTATGTCACCCTTAGTAGAGTGCTGTAGCATCACAGCTCACAGTAACCTCCAAATCTTGGGCTTAAGTGATTCTCTTGCCTCAGCCTCCCAAGTAGCTGGGACTACAGGCACCCACCACAATGCCCGGATATTTTTTGTTGCAGTTGTCATTGTTGTTTAGCAGGCCCAGGCCGGACTCAAACCTACCACCCTTGGTGTATGTCGCTGGCACCCTTACTGAGCCATGTGCAGTGGCATCACTGCTCACAACAACCTCCAACTCCTGGGCTTAAGCGATTCTCATGCCTCAGCCTCCCAAGTAAGCTGGGACCACAGGTGCCCCACAACACCCAGCTATTTTTTGGTTGCCGCTGTCGTTGTTTGGCAGGCCTGGGCTGGATTCCAACCCACCAGATCAGGTGTATGTGGCTGGCGCCTTGGCTGCTTGAGCCACAGGTGCCAAGCCAGAATAGATTTCTTTCGTTATTCAAAAGAGCCATTGGCCTGTGGGTGGAGGGCATGGTGCCAGGAGATCTCGGTCCTTTGAGCTTCCACATGCCAACTGCAGGTAGACTTTGGCATGTAAAGTGTAAAGCACTGCTCTTCAGTTTTTACCCTCAATGCTAGTTTCTCAGTTTGGATCCTGCCCCTCCTGTTAAGCAGCAGGAGGTGGTTGCTCATACCCTCTTTATTGTGGGTTGTGGCCGAGACATGTGCATTTTAATATATCATATAGCTCATCAGGCTTTAGGCTCAAAGGCTATTAAAAGAGAGGTGGAAAGGGTATGAGGAGGCTACAAAGCTATTTTAGATTAGGGTGCTGTGGGGTTCTGTCAGGGTCTTTGGTCAGGTTATCGATCAGCTTTGGCTGTGGGGCAATTTTAGTAAGTGTGGTCCTAAGGCTGTTGGTTTCTTTTCTAGCTGGTTCTAGTGAGCCCTACATCAGAGCAGTATGACAGCCTACTTCGGCAGATGTGGGAGAGGATGGACGAGGGATGCGGAGAGACCATATATGTCATTGGGCAGGGATCAGGTGAGCATAGTTTTCCTTTCACTTTATTTTAAAAAATTAATTAGAGTGTGTTTTCTCTTTTTCAACTTTTTACTCATATATCTCAGTTGCAATGATTCTTTAGTATCTGTACAACTGTTTGGAGAATATCAAAATAACAGAGTGAATGTTAATTCCCACCTTAGTGGTTGTAATATACTTGACTTAAAGATTCACTTTCCTAGCAGTTTTACAGATGCTTCCCTTCTATCTCCCATACTCTGTTTGCAAAAAAGGAAATGATGCACAAAGCAGAGGAACTTCTTGTCTAAGGTAGTAGGGCAAATAAGTTAGGTCTAGAAGTAAGCCTGCCCTAGGCAGCTCCAGATCTTCCCTTCCATGCCCCATTCACAGTTCCCATTGCTACTTATTTTCTGCTTTACAGAGACCTCCATGATTCTTCTCAATATCATCAAAGAAAAAATGCTTAAAATTCTTCTCTTTAGTCAGGCTCCTTGTCCTAGACGATACTGGTCATTTAATCTAGATAACTGTGATGACAGAGGTCCTCTTCTCTTCCCACTGGATCCTGACAGGCACATAGACTTGTATCTATTCTGGAAGGGACTGGTTGTTGTTCTCCAACCTGTTTATTAAAATGTGTTTTGAGGAAGACAACCCCAGACAGAATCTCAGATTTAATTATAGGCTTTTCTTTTCTCTTTTCTGGTCACTTCTAGTTTACACCCTCAATATAAGGCCTAATTTTCTTCATCTTTATTATGACATTATCTTTGCTGAAATAACAGCTGGGATTGTTAATGGTCATGAATTTAGCCCATGCTAGCACATCTTTGTAGGGAGCCCAGGGTGTGCCTAGATGCATCATTAAAGGAACTGTTTTCTTTGCTGAATGTAGGCTTTGTAAAGACAGGTAATAATTCTTTGTAGTTGTAGTTGAGGAAATCTCAACATCATTTTTTAACTATTTGACACTTATACATTACATTATCTTCTCTTTTCTCTTTCTTCTTGTTTTTCTTTCTTTTTTTTTTTTTTAAACATTAAGTATCTTCTAAGGCTTGATACTGTTGCAGAACTCTTTTGGATACTTGAAATGTGGTCCCTGCCCCAAGGAAGAAAGATGGCATATATACAAATAACCTCAGTTACAAGTATTTGGAAATACTAACAAGAGTGATGGAAGAAGGGTTTGATCTCCTGATACAACTATGCCTTCCTTACACGTCTATCCTTAAATTATAGGCCTTACATATCTTTCATACCTATCCTTTTCATCCCATCCGTGCTGCCACCTCCCTAGTTGTAGGTTTTATCTCCTAAAAGAAAGCATGCATGGTCAGAGAGATAGGCAAACCAAGAGGTTACATATCAAGAAAAGGAGTTGATTAGCATTGTCAAGTGCTACAGAAGCAGCAAGGAGTGTCAGGTTTAGAAAAAGCCATTCCATTTTGGTGACTAGGAAATCATTGGTAGTCTTTTGAAAGCTTTCATGTCTGGTGCGCATCTGGCCTGCTGGAATAAGACAAACCACTTGAGAAACTTGTCAGTTTTGACAAGTGTTGTGACTACTCTTTAAAGATCCAGATTTTTAAGACTCCCTTTTCCCCTTAGCCTTTATTGTGGATGCAGTGAATTTTACCTTGTCTTGGTACTTACAACTAATTAACCATGGCAAAGCATAAGAAGATGTCAGACATTCATTAACACATCTACACACCCAAGCATTATCCTTGCATCTACCAATTGGATGCTATTAGATTTCATAATGACTCCTTCTTGCTGAAATTCTTTAGAAGTAGAAAAGAGATTGTAACTAGTTAAACGAGTTGAACATCAAACAGAGGACTAACACAGATGCAAGGCCTCCAAGGGTCAGTTTCATCAGTGACTTCCTTGGGGCTTTACCTCTGTTTGTCATGTCCTTCCCTGTAAAATGGGAACAATGACACCTTCCCCATACTACTTTAGAGAAATTTTGTACTGATAAATGAAATACTGAAAAAATCTAAGCATTGCAGAAGAATGTGCTTTTAAGTATATATGCTTAATTTAAGGTTGATATTTTATTATTTATTTATTTATTTTTGAGACAGAGTCTCAATATGTCACCCTGGGTAGAGTGCTGTGGTGTCACAACTTGCAGCAACCTCAAACTCTCGGGCTTAAGTGATTCTCTTGCCTCAGCCTCCCAATTAGCTGGGACTATAGGCACCTGCCACAACACCTGGCTATTTTTTGATTGTAGTTGTCATTGTTGTTCAGTAGGCCCAGGCTGGATTTGAACCTGCCAACTCTAGTGTATGTGGCTGGTGCCCTAGTTGCTGTGCTACAGGTATGGCCAGGCAGGCCTGAATTTACCTACTAACCTTTTTCCTTGTCTTCCATTAGAGATAATAATAGAATTTATCCCTTGGTGTAATAAGTGAAGATTAAGTGAGAATTCAAGAAAATCACTTGGCTGGGCCTAGTGGCTCACACCACTAGACACTAATCCTAGCACTTGGGAGGCCAAGGCAGGTGGATTACCAGAGCTCACTGTTTCGACATCAGCCTGAGCCAGAGCTAGAGCGAGACTTTGTCTCTAAAAATAGCTAGGCATGGTGGAAAGCACCTGTAGTTCCAGCTAATTGGGAGGCTGAGACAAGAGAATCAATGGCTTAAGCCCAAGAGTTTGAGGTTGCTGTGAGCTATGATGCCACGCCCCCTTACCAAGGGTGACAAAGTGAGACTCTGTCTCAAAAAAAAACAAAAGAAAACCACTTGGTATATAGCAAGCACTATATAAACGTTAACTAGTATTGGTACTTGCCATAGTTGTTTTTTAAGGGTCTCAGGTTATAGTTGATAGACTGTGCTATTTCTTTCAAAGAGAACCTTGTTCATTCCTCAAATTCTAAATCATGACTTTTTTTTTTTTGAGACAGAGTCTTAGTCACCCTAGGGTTGAATACCATGGAATCATAGCTCACAGCAACCTCGAACTCTTGGGCTTAAACTATTCTCTTGCCTCAGCCTCCCGAGTAGCTGGAGCTACAGGTGCCTGCCACAACACCTGGCTATTTTTTAGAGATAGGGTCTCTCTCTAGCTCAGACTGCTCTCGAACTCCTGAGCTCAAGTAATCCTGCCTCAGCCTCCCAGAATGTTGGGATTACAGGCGTGAGCCACCTCGCCTGGCCAAAGTCATGACTTTCTAAGAATTGGGTACTATATTAGAAGCTCAGGAAACTTAGGTAGAATGTTAAGTCTTGTGGGGGAGTCAGGAAAGGCTTCACAGGGCACCTTCCCCTTGGATTGATTCCAAAGAATGAGCAGGAATTTTCCAGGTAAAGGAAAGCAGTAGTGAGTAGGCAGAGAGAACTGTATGCATAAAATCATTGAAGCAGTGGAGTCTGGAATATTTGGTGGGCCAGAAGTAGTCTAGTAAGAGGGGAATGGAGAATGTGAGGTTGAGAGTAGCAGAATGGGAAGCTGGACAGGGAGATAGGCCCTAGATCATGAGGGTCCTTGAATGCCATGCCAAAAAGGTTAAACTTTTGTCCTAGAAGTCTGGGGAGCCTTTGCAGCACATTGAGCAGGAGAACACATATAGGAAAGGTAAGTGAGCTGGCAGGACAGAAATCTGATTAGGGTCAGGCATGGCAGAGTATGTGGCCTTTAGTAATTGGACCTCTGCTGCTTTTCTCCTCAGCCTTTGTCTTCACTCCTACAGAGTGAGGAATGCAATGCATGCTGGAGAAGGGTAATATGACTGACCAAGAGCCCTGACGGACAAGGTGACATTGACGATGGCCCCCTGGTGTGGAGCAGAACCTGAAAGCACAGAAGCAGGGGAGGTTGGATAGAACTGGGGAGCAGTCAGGCAAGAACGGCAAAGTTAGCCAGCCTTCTCAGGAGCAATTCCAACAGCCCTTCTCTAACCCAAAAGCTTTTCAGAGCTCAGTTGACCATGCATTTAGAAACTCCCCAGCCCTGCCACTCCCTCTTTGATAAATTGTTTTACATTTTACAAACATTTGAGGACTTGATATAGGAAAGGCACCCCTCATGGGGCATCAAGGAATTGTTGAGATATAGTCTGTGTCCTGAAGATGCTTATGTATGGTAGGAAGGAGGACATGTATCCGAGGCACTCTACGCTGGGTAGTACATGGCAAATGGTGTAAGGGAGATGCACGCATGTGTAGGGCTGAATAGTAGGATTTTGTCAGCAGGAGGTACACTGGAGGGCTTTCTAGGACAGGAAATTTATGAGCAAAGGTGTAGAGCTAGGACTGTGCAGGGAATCCCAGGGGTGAGGGGGGATATGTGTGACCCAGCCACTTATACTGGGACAAGTTTACAAGGGAAGAACAGGGAGGCAGTGTGGAATAAGTGGGGGAGGCTGTTGGGGCTGGGAAGGAACACTGCTGGGTCTGAGAAGCCATTTGGAGGCTTTGACTTGGACGTACACCATCAGAGAGGTACTTTATATAGGCTTTTACCTGTGGGAGAGTCCATGTAGGATGGTTGGAGAGAATAGAGACTGGATTTGCTAAGTCAGTTAAGAGTCTATTGTGGCAATTAGGGTAGAATAAGGGCCTGAATCAGGCTGATGGCTTTGGTTTGGCACAAAGGGTAAACAGCAGAGAAAAAGGGCAAGATAGAATGCTAGAATCTGTAGGATTAGACTGAAGAGCCTGGAAGGATGGTATTGTTGTTGTCAGAAATAGGGGCAGTAAGAGGAGGAACTGGTCAGGCAGTAGAAGGAACCTTGCTAGAGGAGAGGTGCTAGGTTTGGAATACAAAGACTTTTGTCCACATGGCCCCTCAGCTCCCTCCCAAGCTTCCCGGGGTTCCATTTATCCTTCTATTAGAAGGGAACAGTAATACCTATCTCATAGGGTTATAGTGAGGACGAAAATGCTTGCTTTCTTTCTTTTTTTTTTTTTTTTTTTTGAGGCAGTCTCTCTGTTGCCCTGTGTAGAATGCCGTGTGTCATCACAGCTCACAGCAACCTCAAACTTTTGATCTCAAGAGATCCTCTTGCCTCAGTCTCCCAGGTAGCTGGGACTATAGGTGCCTGCCACAGTGCCCAGCTATTGTTTTGTTGTAGTGTCGTTGTTTAGCAGGCCTGGGCCAGGTTCAAACCCATATGTGGCTAGTGCTCTAGCCACTGAGCTACAGGCACCGAACCTATTTTATTATTTTTAAGAGACAGGGTCTTGGGCAGCGCCTGTGGCTCAAGGAGTAGGGCGCCAGCCCCATATACCGGGGGTGGCAGATTCAAGCCCAGCCCTGGCCCAAACTGAAAAAACAAACAAACAAACAAAAAAAGATGGGGTCTTGCTGTTGCTCAGACTGGTCTCAAACTACTGAGCTCAAGCAATCTACCTGCCTCAGCCTCCCAGAGTGCTGGGATTACAAGTGTGAGCCGCAGTGCCTGACTTTAAAATACTTTCTTTCTGGCTCAGTGCCTGTGGCTCAAGCAGATAAGGTGCCAGCCACATACACCTAAGGTGGCGGGTTCAAATCCCGCCCAGGCCTGCCAGACAATGATGGCTGCAACCAAAAAATAGCCAGGCGTTGTGGCGGGTGCCTGTGGTCCCAGCTACTTGGGAGGCTGAGGCAGTAGACTCGCTTGAGCCCAGGAGTTGGAGGTTGCTGTGAGCTTCGATGCCACGGCACTCTACCCAAGGGGATAGCTTGAGGCTCTGTCTCAAAAAAAAAACAACTTTCTTTCTTTTTTTTTTTGAGACAGAATCTGAAGCTGTTGCCCTGGGTAGAGTTCCATGGCGTCATAGCTCACAGCAACCTCCAACTCCTAGGCTCAAGCCATCTCTTGCCTCAGTTTTTCTTTTTCTTTTTCTTTTTTTTTTTGCAGTTTTTGGCCGGGGCTGGGTTGGAACCGGCCACCTCCGGCATATGGGGCCGGTGCCCTACTCCTTTGAGCCATGTGTACCGCCTTGCCTCAGTTTTTCTATTTTAGTAAAGATGGGGTCTCACTTTTACTCAGGCTGATCTTGAACTATTGAGCTCAAGCAATCCACCTGCCTCGGCCTCCCAGAGTGCTAGGATTATAGGTGTAAGCCACTGTGCCCGGCCTAAAATGCTTTCTTTCTTTTTCGTTTTTTTTTTGGTAGAGACAGAGTCTCACTCTATCACCCTTGGTAGAATGCTGTGGCATCACACAGCTCACAGCAACCTCCAACTTCTGGGCTTAGGCGATTCTCTTGCCTCAGCCTCCGGAGTAGCTGGGACTACAGGCACCCACCTGGCTTTTTTTTGTTGTAGTTTGGCCGGGGCCAGGTTTGAACCTGCCACCTTAGGTGTATGTGGCTGGCGCCTTAGCCGCTTGAGCCACAGGCGCCAAGCCTAAAATGCTTTCTTAATGTTAGGTTTTATGCTGTTGTTTAAAGGATGAGGTGGTGTTTAGGCTTGGATATTAGATTTGTAGGAGTTATCTAAGCAATTGGAAATTAAGTCTGGTGCTCTGGGAATGGGGTGATTCTAGAAATGATTGAAGCCATAGAAAGAGAAGAGAGTCACTGACAGACTACTGGAGAAGATTGGTATTCAAGGACAGAAGGGAGATAGAGGAGGGGAGGCACCAGCAGTGGTCAGGTGATGGCTGAGCAGAGTGGGAGGGAGGTACCTCGGAAGGAAAGGCAGCAGGGTGGCCAGCAGTGTGGAATACTGTTGAGGTCAAGCAAAGAGTGGTTAGAAGGCCACTTGTAACTTGTGAAAACTGCGGTCTTTCCTGGAATTGTCACATTCTCATGGGGTAGGTGGTGGGGAAATGATGTGCCGATTGTGCCTCAGATATTTGGTGGCAAAAAGAGGAGATGGCAGCTCTGCAGATATTAAGAGCCAAGGCAGTGGGTGGTTTTTCTTTCCATAGTTTAGGAGCTTCAGCTTATTTGGAGGGTCAGAAAGAGAAGAGAAGAATACTTGGTGCTGTGAGATCTTTGGAGTTGGTGAAAGAGAAGATGGTTACTTAGATTAACCTAGGAAAGGAACAGGGTGCTCTTGGAGACAGGACAGCAGGGGGAATGGCTGAGGCAGTGATGTGGGGATTAAATTTGAAAACTTAGAAAGCACCTGATCGGGTTGTTACACAGTCGGTACTCAATAACTGATTGGTTGATCCTTTCTTCCATCTGACTGCTTTCCTCATCCTGAGCTCAAAGTCATTCTTCCAGCTGCTTGTTGGACATTCCACCTGAACCACCTCAATTAAAAATCTGTCTCTAAAATAATTCTTAAATTCTTCCCTATTTTCCTACATCTTTCTGTCCTCATTATCTCTTGACTAGATTATTAGTTACTTCCAACTGGGCTCCCCCTTCTTGATCCCTCGCTGGCCAATGTACCCTCTCTACGGCTACCCAGATCTATCTAACCCACAGTGGTCTGATCTTGTTGCTTCCCTCCCTAACCCTTCAGATTTCTCACGGCCACAAAAGGTGTCTTGCTGCTGTCTATTATCAATCTGCCATACCCACTTTCACCTCTTGTCTGCCCCCCCACCCTTGCCCATTCTATTCCCCAACGTTCTGAGCTGCTTCCTGGTCTTCGAACTTGCCACAGTCTGCCATGCTCCATGCTTTGCCCTCTGGCTAGGACGTCCTTCCTCCATCCTCTGCAGGCTCATTTCTCACACCTGGAGACCCAGCTTAGCCTTGGCACTAGGCACAGCTGTCCTCAGCTTCCCTAGGCAGTGCTTTATGTTCTCTGTGCATATTTCTATAGCACATACTTGAGCTGTATTGCAATTAATTAATTTCCTGTCTTTCTTCTCCTGCTGAGCTGTGAGCTTGCTAGGGGCACCTGTAGTCCCAGTACCCAGCATGAGGCTTGGCATAATACCTAGGAGAGCCTCAGTGATTGTTGTTGAATGAATTAATGAATGCCCTGCTTGATGGATAAGGTTGTGGCACTATCATGCTTTAATTCTATGTGTATCCGAGTTTTTTTTCAGCTAGAAAGCATTGTGTTTCTCTCTAGTGCCCAACAGGGCCTTTGTTAGGAAGGGTTGACTGGGTGGCTTATTGGTCAGGACCACCTCTCCTGCTGATGTCTGGGCTCTTAATCACCAGATGGGACTGAGTATGGGCTGAGCGAAGCTGACATGGAGGCCTCCTATGCCACAGTGAAGAGCATGGCAGAACAGATAGAAGCTGATGTCATCCTCCTGCGGGAACGTCAAGAAGCTGGGGGCCGGGTTCGTGATTACCTGGTCCGGAAACGAGTCGGAGACAATGACTTCCTGGAGGTCAGGTGCGGAGGCTTCAGATCGGTTCAGGAATCCCCATTCTTCACAGAGCAAGTGATTGAGCCTATGACACTTGGAGTGTCAGTACCACCCCTTCCTTTCCTTTCCCTTCCCTTCCTAAGGCATCCAGGGACGTGATAGCTCCATTCTCTATTTCTACACTTTCCTGTCCCTAAGTATTTCCCTTTGGGAGGAGCGGGAGAGGGGCCAGTCATCTGTTCTGTGGGCTGCATTTACTTTCCTGTCAGCCTGTGAAGCTGGAAACCAGGGTAAAGGCAGAGGCCTTTTGTGCTTCTTGTAGCTCTGGGGCTCTTCTGGCAGTGTGGGGAAGGTAGTGGGAGTTAAGAGAGATAGTCATTACGGGAGCCCAGTTCCTCCTGAATAACTCTACTCCCTGGATACAGTTCCAAGAACTTTCCCAATGTGCTCATCCGTGGGTAGGAGGGGCTTAGGGTGAGCCTGGACTCATGAATCCCATTATAGGGTTCTGAGTTGTCTCTTCTCTCACTAACTCTCACTTGGATGTATGGGTTCATGTACATGCAGGGTGGCAGTAGTGGGCAACGTGGATGCCGGCAAAAGCACGCTTCTGGGGGTCCTGACACATGGGGAGCTGGACAATGGCCGAGGCTTTGCCCGTCAAAAACTCTTCCGCCATAAACATGAGATTGAATCTGGGCGCACCAGCAGTGTGGGTAACGACATTCTGGGCTTTGACAGCCAAGGCAATGTGGTGAACAAGCCTGACAGCCATGGTGGCAGCCTAGAGTGGACAAAGATCTGTGAGAAGTCCACTAAGGTTATTACTTTCATCGATTTGGCTGGCCATGAGAAGTACTTGAAGACCACTGTCTTTGGCATGACTGGCCATTTGCCTGACTTCTGCATGCTTATGGTAAGTGTGAGGCCCTCCTAGGAGGGGAGGCTTCAGCAGGGTTGGGGGCTGGTTATGTGCAGTGGTTTGAAATTGTTCTAAGGGCTAGGCGCAGTGGCTCATGCCTATAACCCTAGCACTCTGGAGGCCAAGACAGGTGGGTTGCTTGAGCTCAGGAGTTCAAGACCATCCTGAGCAAGAGTAAGATCCTGTCTCTACTAAAAATAGAAAAACAAGCTGGGCATTGTGGTGGATGCCTGTAGTCCCAGCTACTTGGGAGGCTGAAGCAAGAGGATCACTTGGGCCCAAAGAGTTTGAGGTTGCTGTGAGCTATACCACCACGTTCTATTGAGGGCAACAAAATGAGATGCTGTCTCAATAAATAAATAAATAAATAAAAGAAATTGTTCTAAGACTAAGGCCTCGGTTTGGGGCTTTGATGCTGTATAAGGATGACACATTTTGCAGGGGTACCCAGTCCTTTAAGTTTGTAATCCCTTCTGGGTGTGAGCCTTGATCTCTCCCCTATGTTACATCAAGAAGGGAGCCCCGTGGTAAAAACTGGGTACCATTGCAGACCTTGCTGGTTTTTTGCAGAGGCATAGAGGGTTTCTCCTGGGACTTCCTTATTACCTTCAGGAATGCTTTCTCCAGGGGGTTGGCCTACTCTGAAGAGGTGGCACCCTTCTTAGAGAAGGGAAGTTTGGTGAGGAAGTGGAAGTGCGCACCATAGAAGGTATAGGCAGCCGTCAGAAGGGCCTGGGAGGTGGCCTCTTCCAGATGCAGGGAGAAGTACCAGCCAGTGCACAGCCCTTGTCAACAGGCTGCTGGTGCCTGGGACTGTGCTAGGCCTGGTATATAGCAGTGAACAAGGCTGTGGGGGCATCTTGAGGAGCTTGTAGTGTAGTGGGGTGAAAGTTTTAAGCCAGGCGTCCTCAAACTGCGGCCCGCCTAGGACATTTATTCAGCCCGCCGGGCATTTTAGCCACCACTGCCTGTCTTGCTTAGCAGCCGACTAGTCCCGGGACCCACAGTCCAGCCCTCCAGTGGTCTGAGGGACAGTGAACTGGCCCCCTGTTTAAAAAGTTTGAGGACTCCTGTTTAAGCAGTTCATTGTGTAGATTAACTGAAAGGACAGGAAGCAGAGGGCTCTGCTTTGGATCATGTTGCTAAGCTTGCCTTTGTGTTTCTGGAAGGAGAGTGGGAGTGGTGAGGCCCACAACCTGTGCACAAGTCCATGGCTTTCATGGAGGATGGGAGGAGGAGGGAAGAAGGGAAGGGAGAGAGCAAGAGTGCACTTAGGCAACTAAACAAGTTTTCCCTTGGCAAGTCCTTCCTAAAGCCTTTCCCCATTTCCTGATTCCTTCAGCTGCCTGGATTCGTAAGTGTAGTAAACATAAGCATCTGTTTGTAGCTAACTTGATCAAGTTGCCCCACAAACACAGGTTCTCAAGAATTCTTCCCAAGGTAGAGTGTAGTAAAGAGAGGCAGGACATATGGTAAGAATACTCATGTCTGCTCTTGAACTACAGTGAGCAAGACCAGTTGATGGACTTGTGTTCACCCCAGATAAAACATTATATTCACATTATCTGACTTTTGGGCTGTGATCCAAATACTTAAATTTCTGCATAAAATAACATAAAAAAAAGTTTCGTTATTTTTTATGACATTGGATTTTCAGGAAAAAATATTTAATATATATAAATGGCATAGATAGAGCACTGTCTTATCCAAGTTGGGTAGAGCAATAGGAAGTCTGGGTTGGATTAGAAAGGTGGTTGAAGGGAATGGGAAGAATTAGGAGGAAGATTGAAGTGTCCTGATGTGGGAAGAGGGAACATAGTAGTCACAGGTCAGCTATGTCAGCAGGATGGTGACTCATCTTTGAGCTGTGATGATCAAATGAGCATCTCAATACAGACACTGAAGAATGGATAAAGCACTATAGAAATATGTCATGGCATTTTGTCTTTATAATTTTGTTTTGTCTTAGTAAATAATACATTTACATGGTACTATTTCTTTATAATTTTGTTTTGTCTTAGTAAATAATACATTTACATGGTACTAAAATAAAAAGGTGCCAAAAGCTTATAGTGAAAAGTGTCCCTTCTTCTTTTGTCCAGTTTCTTCCTGGAGGCAACTGGTATTTCCAGTTTTTTTGTGTACCTGCCGGAGATAGGCAATATACCACCAAGTCTGTATGTTGTCTCCAGTTCCTCCAATTTCAAATGTTCAGAAAAATTAAAAGAATAATATGATGAATACATAAACCCACCACTTAGATTCAACGCCATTAACACTTTATCATAATTATATGTATATGTGATGGGTACATATGTATATATATGTACACATAGTTTTTTTAGGGTTTTTTTTTTAAATCGTTTGAAAGTAGATTGTAGACACTGTGACTCTTTGCCACATATTTCAGCACATAGCTCTTAAAAGTAAGGATTGTGTCCTACTGTTACTATAACCAAGAAAATGAACAATAATTTCCTGATATCTTCCACTAGCTAGTCTATCTTTATATTATCTCAGATGTCCCCAAGTGTCTTACAGCTGCTTTTTTCAAGCTACGCTACAATCACCACTTACTTCTTTCCATAGTAGCATAACATGTATACCTTGTCCTTTTCCCGTTGAAGATATATCTTGGTTATTAGCCCATATTAGTAGATAAGAGTTTCTTCTTTCTTTTGTATGACACTTTTATACATGTGCTTTAATTTCTTTAACTAGTCTTTATGATGCTATTTAAAAATATTCACTGTGGTTCAGCGACCATAGCTCAGTGAGTAGGTCTCCAGCCACATGCACTGGAGCTGGTGGGTTTGAGCCCGGCCCAGGCCAGCTAAACAACAGTGACAACTGCAACCAAAAACATGGCCAGGCATTGTGGTGGGCATCTGTAGTCCCAGCTACTAGGGAGGCTGAGGCAGGAACATCGCTTGAGCCCAGGAGTTTGAGGTTGCTGTGAGCTGTGACTCCATGGCACTCTACCAAAGGTGACATAGTGAGACTCTGTCTCAAAAATAAAAAATAAAAACATTCGTTGTTACTAGAACGAATAGTAACAGTAGTAATAGCTGTCATAGTTTGAACACCTAGTTCATGCTGGTTCTTTGCTGGACCTTTCATATATGTTATGACATTTAAACCTCAACCTTCCAAAGTGGGTATTGTGGCTTGGCGCCTGTAGCTCAGTGGCTAGGGTGCTGGCCACATATATCGGGGCTGGAGGGTTTGAATTGGCCTGCGCCTGCTAAACAACAGTGACAACTACAATAATAATAACAAAAATGACTGGGTATTTGTGGCAGGTGCCTGTAGTCCCAGCTACTTGGGAGGCTAAGGCAAGAGAATCGCTTAAGCCCAAGAGTTTGAGGTTGCTATGAGCTATGACGCCACGGCACTCTACCAAGGGCAACATAGTAAGACTCTGTCTCCCCAAAATAAATAAATAAATAAATAAAATATAGTGGGTATTATCTCCCCATTTTACAGATGGGGAGACTGAGGGCCAAGGATAAATCAGTTGTTTTCCCAGACTGTCTGGGTTTATCTTTTTTATTGTTCACAAATCACCTCAGATTTTAATAGCCTGCATCACTGAGTCAGGGGCTAAAGTGATCTGTGCCCACCTCGCAGCAGTCTCTGCCTCCCTTTCCCTGACAGTTCCTTTCTGTGTTGGGGTAGGTGGGCAGCAATGCTGGCATCGTTGGGATGACCAAGGAGCACTTGGGCTTGGCACTGGCACTCAATGTACCTGTCTTTGTGGTAGTCACCAAGATTGACATGTGTCCTGCCAACATCCTGCAAGGTAAGTGAAGCCTCCAGCTAGCAGCAGCCACTCTGACTGGGGCTGTCACCTGCCATGTTAAGGTTTTAGCCCAGAATCATCTTCTTCCTTCCCTGTTTAAGCTTGGTCTGAACATAGGCTGGAATTATCCTCTGTTGTTTGTTCCTTCTGGTTCCAAACACAGGATCCTTAAGATCCCTGATCTAGCCCCTCTTTTCAGATGACCCCAGGCAGAAGAAGTTGGGTTCCACCAGCTAAGCTGGATATATATGGAGAAGTTTGAGCAGAGATCTGACACCTTTTGCCACCAAAGCTTCAACACAGGTGCCTCTCTCCCTCACTGTTGAGGATGGTAGAAGAGAATGGGGAGGTGAACGTTTGGAAGACCTCCTGATAAGGGTCTCTGCAGACTTCAAAATGTACAAGAGAGCCTTTTTTTTTTTTCTTTTTGAGACAGTCTCACTTTGTTGCTTTTGGTAGAGTGCCATGGTGTCATAGCTCACAGCAACCTCAAACTCTTGGGCTCAAGAGATCCTCTTGCCTCAGCCTCCTAAGTAGCTGGAACTACTATAGGCACTTGCCACAATGCCCAGTTATTTTTAGAGACAGAGGTCTCACTCTGGCTCAGGCTGGTCTCGAAATTGTGAGCTCAGACAGTCCACTTGCCTCAGCTTCTCAGAATGCTGGGATTACAGGCATGAGCCACTGCACCCTGTCTTCTTTTTAGACAGAGTCTCAGTTTGTTGCCCTCAGTAGAGTGCCATGGCATCATAGCTCATAGCAACTTCAAACTCTTGGGCTCAAGTGATTCTCTTGCCTCAGCCTCCCAAGTAGCTGGGACTACAGGCGCCCAGTACAATGCCCAGCTATTTTTTACAGATGAGGTCTCACTCTGGCTCAGGCTGGTCTCCAACCTCTGAGCTCAGGCAATCCACCCCGCCTTGGCCTCCCAGAGCAGTAGGTTTACAGGTGTGAGCCACCATGCCTGGCCCTAGTTTTTCTATTTTCTTTCTTTTTTTTTTTTTTTTTACATGTGTTTATTAGGTTTCCACTTACATGTATTCAACTTTGATATAAGGACAAATAATGACAATTAATAACATGATGGAGCATGGGGAAAGGGGAGACCAGACAGAGAAGGAGGAGGGGGTGAGGGAAAGGAAAAGAAGAAAAAAAAAAAGAAAAGAAAATAGAAACTAATTCTTACATAAATTGGATTTAATTTTGACCAAAGTACATTACTTAAACATTAATTTTTATTTCAACTTGTTAATATGTTGTTTAGGATATTGCATTCTCCTTTATAAATGTAATATGTTTATCATTTCTCCTTTATAATAATATATTTTCTCCAATTTTAATATCAGGTGTATCCAGATTAAGTAGAATGATTTTGAAGTATTTCTTCTTCTTCTGTTGTCTATAAGATTTGGCATGATCTGTTCTTTTGAAATTATCTTTTACTTTTATTTATAAATATTAGTTGTCTATTTTTGAGACTTTGGGAAAAAAAAAGAAGTTAACTGATGACTGCATACTGAACCTCAGAGTCAGAGCATTCTATAATAGACATGCTCTCATTTGACAATGTGAATGTTACTTTCTTTGCATTATTATTATTATTGCTTAATATTTCAATGCAGCAATAGTCTGATTTCTTTTCTGAATGTATTTATCTTTGTTTGTTCTTTATGAGGTTTTCGTTTCTAGTCCTTATCTTAAACATTGTTATTGTTATTAAATTTTAATCCTTTTTAATTTTGTGAAGGTAAAAAGTGAAAACCTAATAAACACATGTATATGCTTTTCTATTTTTATTTTTATTTTTATTTATTTATTTATTTATTTTGAGAGAGTCTCACTGTGTCACCCTTGGTAGAGTGCCATGGCATCACAGCTCATAGCAACCTCAAACTCTTGGGCTTAAGTGATTCTCTTGCCTCAGCCTCCCAAGTAGCTGGGACTATTAGGGGCCCGGCACAACCCCTGGCTATTTTGTTGTTGTTGTTGTTGTTGTAGTTGTCATTGTTGTTTAGCTAGCTCAGGCCAGGCTCGAATCCACCAGCCTCAGTGCATGTGGCTGGCACCATAACCACTGTGCTATGGGTGCTGAGCCTAGTTTTTCTATTTTTAATAGAGATGGATCTCACTCTTGCTTAGGCTGGTCTCGATCTCCTGAGCACAAGTAATCCATCTGCCTCAGCCTCCTAGAGTGTTAGGATTATAGGTGTGAACCGCCACATCTGGCCTCTTAAGAGAGCCTTTTTGTCAGGTGAAATTTTTCCAAGAAGCAATACATTCTGGGAATAACATCAGTTTTCTCAGGGATCCCCTTGTCCCCTGAGAGTTACTTGCTTACAGGATGTGGGGTTTTTTAGAGACTGGAGAAATCTGTTAGGTTTCAGACTCAGAGCCTTAGAAAGCAGATCGTGTGCTCTCTAGCAATATGTACCCACCCAAAGTTTTGATCCTCCTTTTTGCTTCTCCAGGCATTGTGGCATTTAACACTGGTCCGTCTGTCTATCTTCTGCTTGCATCAGTAATGAGTGGACCCATCTTGCCCTGGAAGCCTGGCCAAAGAGAAGGCTGTGTCCCCTAATTCTGTTCCATTTCACCCTTTAAGAAACCCTGAAGCTGTTACAACGCTTGCTGAAGTCACCAGGCTGCCGGAAGATTCCCGTGCTGGTACAGAGCAAGGATGATGTGATCGTTACAGCCTCCAACTTCAGCTCTGAGAGGTAACCGGTAGGGACATATACTTCCAGGCAGGCTCCCTTGCTAGCAGAGCTGCAGCAAGTAATGGGCCCAATGTGGCTGTTTGGGCATGAGGTCTCATGAAAACACTATATCAGAATGCCTCTTATTTTCAGAGTTGGGAGAAATAGAAATTTCTGGTCTTAGCACAAGGTCTCCCAGGCTGGCATTTGTTGCCCAGGGGCTGTAGCAGGTGACCTAGATTCTGAGATGCTGGCTTTTTGAGATTAGAATCCCAGCTAAGGCTTCAGTGTCCTTATCTATGAAATGGAAGTAATAATACATTCCTCAGAGGGCTCTCATGGTGCTGGAAATGATGTATATAAAGCACTTAGAACTGGACACAGTTATATTCTGTAACTGTTATTAATTCTTTAGACTATTGTTCCTGAAAAGCTCTTTAATCACAGATCAGTTTTGGCATCTACTTATTAATGTATCTTTTCATTCCTTAAATATTTAGTGGATGTTGTTCTGCCAGGCTCTTCATCTAGAGATTGAGGATTCAGAGTTGACTTGAGCACAGCCTTGTCCTTGAAATGTTAAGCTCCTTGGTCAGAGATACTCTCTTGATAACGGTGAACTTCATTAACTCTGCCTCTTTGCCCAGAGCCTGGGGGCTCCTCAGCAGTGATCTGCCTCCTGACTTGGTCTGCAGTGCAGAGCCCAGAACAGTCCGGCTTCCTTCAGTGCCTCTTCTCTGATGCCTCTAGGTGGCCAACAGAGGGGCACGTTCCAGACAGCCCCATTTCAGCTCGCTTGTGTTGTGTGGCTCTTCTATGCAGGAACTATCCTCAGAGCTGTGGGGAATGTATAATTCCTGATCTCTAGAATTTAGTTCACCCTGAATAGGTGAAATTGAGCCTATTTAGATGACTCTGATGGAAAATCAGATGTAGTCATGTGTAACAGAGATACAAAAGCTCTCCAGGAACTCAGAGGAGTTGAGTATGTCCATCCAGCAAAGGTTTCATGGAAGGAGTAGTATTTGAGATAAGCTCTAAAGGATGAGAAGAGTCTGGCAGTTGGATAAGAGGGAAGGAGTGGAGGAAGGAAGGTCCAAGTGAGCAAATCCACGTGGGGAGGAAAATGCCAAGCTGTGAAGAGGAGGGAGTTTTCTGATGTGGCTGGACTGTGAGACTTTGTGAGAAACACATCTGCAGAGATGATAGAAGCCTGAGTGTGAAGGGCTAGGAATGTTGGGAAAAGGGATTCATGTTATCAGTGGTGGAGAGGCCATTAAGGATTTTAAGGAAGCATGTGTAGAAAGACATGCTACTGCTTCAGGAAGAAGAAGCAGTCTTGAGGTTCCAAAGTAGGGTAGTGGTGGAGGAACAGGAAGGAGATAGGTTTCAGAGACAAAACTAAGTAAGATAAGAAGGCCTTGGAGCAAGGCTAGGTAGAAGTTGGTAGCCAGGCAGAAGGGTCAAGCCCTTGGAGGTGGGTAAGGGAGAGGTGGAGTCGTCGTGAGCAGCAGCATCTGCTCCTGGAGCCCTGCTGCCGCTCTACCCTGTGTCAAGGCAGGAGTGGACTACCTGAGCTCTTCTCTCCTCCCTTTCTCTGTCCCCTCCATTTAGGATGTGCCCAATATTCCAGATCTCCAACGTTACAGGCGAGAACCTAGATCTGCTGAAGATGTTCCTCAACCTCCTCTCCCCCCGTACCAGCTATAGGGAGGAAGAGCCTGCTGAGTTTCAGATTGATGACACTTACTCTGTGCCTGTGAGTGGCTCTGGGGTGTGGCTGGGTGGGCCTACTACAGGGGCATCAAGGGGTGGGTCTGTGGTAAGGATGGACTTACCAAGCCAGGGTCTTCTTCTTGGCAGGGTGTGGGGACAGTGGTGTCGGGGACAACACTGAGAGGCCTGATCAAGCTGAATGACACGCTGCTACTGGGCCCAGACCCCCTGGGTAATTTCCTGTCCATTGCTGTCAAATCCATCCATCGCAAACGCATGCCTGTCAAGGAGGTTCGTGGGGGCCAGACGGCATCCTTTGCGCTGAAGAAGGTGAGTGGTAATGACATGAAAACCTCCCCTCGGGCTCCATTATGCAAGGCTCTGGGCCAGATGCTTGACTCACCGTCTCCAGCTGGTCTGCAAGGTAGGGATTACTGACCTCATTTTGACAGATGAGGCCCAGGGAATTGTCCAAAACACACAGCTTATAAGTGCTAGAGGTAGGACTTGAACCCAGGACTGCCTCCTAAGCTTTCTTCGTTTGATGCCTGAGCAGGGTGCTCCTAGCTCAGTGGGGAGATCAGATAGGATGATTCTTCTGCATAGGGCCATTGGGGTCTACGCCAGGTCCCTTCCCATTCATCCTTCTATCTCTTGGGCTTTGGAGTGAGTGCTAGCCCTGGGTTCATCTGCCTTTTTTGCCAACCAAATTAACCAGGAAAAGTGGGACTCTCTCTTCTCTCTTCAATGGATAGATTGTGATCAACTGTCCCTTCCCTCTAATTGCTTGCCTGCCTTTCCTTCTCTCCCATCATTCAAGGCCCAGGAACTGAAATGCCAGTTCTTGCATGAAATCTTTTCTGACCCCCAGAAGCAGTGTCTGAGCTTCCCGCGTAACACTAAGTCTGTTTGTGCTGGCCACCCTCCAAGGCCAGTGGTCCAGTATGATGAGGGGCCAGGCTCAGCTGGGGAAGTCTTTAGGACCAGGGGATAAAACCAGAAGGCATCATTGTCCCTGAGGACTGGGGTTCCCTCTGTCTTTCAGATTAAGCGATCGTCCATCCGGAAGGGCATGGTGATGGTTTCCCCACGCTTGAATCCCCAAGCCTCCTGGGAGTTTGAGGCTGAGATTCTCGTCCTCCACCATCCCACCACGATTAGCCCGCGCTACCAGGCCATGGGTACGAGGCCAGGCCATGGGTGGGAGGACCCTGTGCTAGTTCCCTTAAGAAAGTGCTCCAAGTGACCCAAGCCCCATAGTTGTAGCTCCAGCCAAGCAGCAAGTCTTCTTCATTGTGTCTAGTGATGTCATTCTCTGCTCCAGCCGGGGACTGCAGCATTTATTCAGTCCTGTAGACACTATGCTGAAGGATCTCACCTGCATCCTTCAGCCAATGTCTGCTAAATACCGCTGTATATGTTGACATGTGGTGTTGCCAAGGGCCTTAGGGACAAAGATGAGGTAGATGGGCAAGGGCTTTGTCCTCCGGAGCTCAGTACTGTGAGGGGGCACATGTGCAAACAGAGTACTCCTTAAGCCCAGGAACTAGGACCCCTGTCTGTGTTGGGCTGAGTAGGGTGTGAAGGGATGGGGTCTAACTGAGGAAAAGGAGGGAGAGCTTGAAGCCTGATCAGAGCCAAGAACAGGCCCTAGAGATAAGCCCCGCCCTGCCACAGCTTGAGTGTATTTCGTACTTTCACTTGCTGCTACCCTTTACCCTGAGGTTACAGGGTAGCTCAAGCCTGTCTTGATCTCTGGTTCCCTTGGCAGTGCACTGTGGGAGCATCAGGCAGACGGCCACCATTCTGAGCATGGACAAGGACTGTCTGCGTACCGGGGACAAGGCCACTGTACACTTTCGCTTCATCAAGACCCCAGAGTACCTGCACATAGACCAGCGGCTGGTGTTCCGGGAAGGCCGCACCAAGGCAGTTGGCACCATCACTAAGGTATGGCTGAGGCAATCTTTCTTACTGGCCCCCAGGGAGCACTAGGGCTGCTCCTCTTCTAGTGACCTTGAACAGGCTCTTCTTGAGGAACCCTGAGGAGTTTCCCTAACTTCTAGGGGTAGAGGCACAGTCCCTGATTTGGGAAAGCTGGACCATCACTGAGGTGTGTGGCCTTAGTGCCACCTTCTCTGCACATCTAGAGAGGTGCCCCTTGGCCTCCCATTGTGGGTGTTGGTGGTGACCATGGAAGAAAGAAGGTGGGGTTGGGGCATGGCTTCCCTCCTAGGAAACTGGTGGCAGAGTGTCTGGGCCTAACCAATGTCAGCCTCCATTCGAGATACCAGCACAGGCTCCTGTGGCTTGGTTAGGGCTAAACCAAGGTCTATCCCTCAGAGCAGGGGTCTGGTTGGAGTGAGTGCTAGATAGCACAGGGGGTTGTGAGCCTGAGTTCCCTTGGGGTTTAAGCTGTTTGTATATTCTGGAGCCCACATTTGCCCTCTGCAGACCTGATTTGTGACCTTTTGTAGGGGAATTTGATAGAGTAGTTTGATACCTGCTCCATCTAGAGAAGGAAGTGCCCCAGCCTGTCTGAGATCTTAGAATCAGCCATTAGCTGATGTTTCTTCCAGAATGACTTTCCTTGGGCCTTGGGCCCATCCATAGTGACCCTGTGACTGTGTATGTTGGGGAGGTGGGGGTCATATCCTTGGAGGCATTTGCCTCTGTGACTGGCTGGGAGTTTGGCAGAGGCCATAGCACACACTGAGGTACCCCCTACAGATGCACTGGGCCTCCTCCCTGATTTGTTTGAGTTTGAACTTGGGCCACAAGGGAAGATTTTGAGACAGTTGCTCCTGACTGATGGTAGCTTTTTAGATTTTTTTTTTTTTTCTTTTCAGTTTTTGGCCAGGGCTGGGTTTGAACCCGCCACCACCTCCGGCATATGGGGCTGGCTCCCTATTCCTTTGAGCCACAGGTGCCGCCCCAGCTTTTTAGATTTCTGATAGCCAGACCCTGAATGTTTACAGCAAATGAGACATTCACTTGGTTTCTTTGGGAGGCCTGAAGTTAAAACTTGCCCTAGACCCTTGTCACAGGGGCAGCAGTAGGATTCTGGGCTAGAGATATAGCTGATGCTTTGAGGAGTCATGGCCACCTTATCAGTCAAGAGAGCCTCAAGCTTGACTCATCAGGCTCTGGGCAAGCTGGACCCTGGTCTGGGAGCTGAGCTGAGTGGGAGGTAGCAGAGAGGTTCACAGATTACTCTGTGAGGACAGCAGCTGCAGCAGAGAACAAGATGGAGCCTTTCTGGACTGACCAGAGGCAGGAAGTGAGTGAGCCCATGGCCATCATGGCTCATCCCGAGCCACTGACTAGGGTTGAGAACTCTTCTGTTATCACTGCCTTCTGTCATAGCCCTGCTGCCATCTTCCTCGCTAGACTATGAAGTCCAGGGAATGGAGCCAGGTGCAGTGGCTCACACCTGTAATCCTAGCACTCTGGGAGGTCAAAGCAGGCAGATTACCTGAGCTCAGGAGTTTGAGACCAGCCTAAGCAAGAGCCAGTCTCTAAAAATAGCCGGGCACTGTGGCGGATACCTGTAGTCCCAGCTAATTGGGAGGCTGATGCAAGAGAATCACTTGAGCCTAGGAGTTTGAGGTTGCTGTGAGCTGTGATGCCATGGCACTCTACCGAGGGTGACAAAGATTTTGTCTCAGAAAAAAAAAAAAACAACAGGGAATGGGAAGCCCCTGAGAAAAGGAGTGGGAACATGGGGTGGGTAGCCAAGTTGATGCCACTGCCCTGCAGCTCCAGCCCCATCCTCACCCCCTGGTTCCCACAGCTCCTACAGACTACCAACAACTCCCCGATGAACTCCAAGCCCCAGCAGATTAAAATGCAGTCAACAAAAAAGGGCCCTCTGACCAAACGAGAAGAGGGGGGCCCATCCAGCGGGCCAGCAGTAGGAGCACCCCCACCTGGGGATGAAGCTTCCTCTCTAGGGGCTGCACAGCCAGCTGTATCCAGCAGTCTCCAGCCACAGGTGAGCATGGGTCCCTTGCATCTTTGGGCAGGATAGCAGGGGCTTTGGCTCTTCCCCTGAGTTGGTGAAGGGGACACATAGAAGCACCTCAGGCATAGATAGGTGTTTTCAGCAACTTATGGCACTTGAGCAGCATCCAAGTGAGAGCTATTTGCCTCTGTAAGTCACAAGGCAAGTGTTTTCCAAAGCATGGGGTGTGTCCTACCTAAAATGAATTTAACTGGTCCTGATTAGCATTTGGTTTTAATGAAAAAGAATTGGAAAATGTCAAGATTTCCCCTTCATAGCAGGAGTGAATAGTTGTGTAAGAGTGTGATGTATGATGTGTGTACAGCAGTCCAACAGGTTTGAGAGACACTATCTTAGAGGACCCTCCTGTGTTTCCTTCCTGACATGCCAGCACATACATATCCTGAAGGAGAGCTGGCCTTGGGCTGTGTCACTATGTTCTTACTCAGCATGTCCTGCTGGCTGTCCCCCAGGAGCTCTCTCCGGGCCTGATGAAGGCCTGGCACCCCCTTGCACTCCTCTCCCAAGGGTCTTTCTCCACCTTCCGCTCTTTAGAGAAGAAAGTTCTGTCTTGGTCCACCTTGTCCCTTCTGTCTCCTGTTGAGCTTTCCCCGGCTTGTTCATTTCCTTTCTCTTGTCACCGTCAATAGTGCTAAGTGATGATCTCTGCTCTACTTTGTGCTTCTCTGAACAGCTCCCCTCCCACCATTATCACATGTGTCCGACTGTCCTTTGAGGGAGGCAGGCTGGGCACTGCTCCACTGTATAGACAGAGGGAAGGGTTGCTTGCAAGGTCACCAAGTAGACTGAGTCAAGTGAAGGCTACAGGAGTAGGATTACACTGTCATCTGACCCATCTCCTGTCACACTCTCCCTCTGCCTGGCCCCTCTGTTGCTTGTCCTATTCCCAGTGGGCTAGTGCTTCTCAAGCTTTTTTTTCTCTTTCAGCCTAAGCCCAGCAGCGGTGGCCGGCGACGAGGGGGCCAGCGCCATAAGGTGAAGTCCCAGGGGGCTTGTGTGACTCCTGCCAGTGGATGCTGAATCTTACCTGGTTCACCCCCACCACCCAAGGGGTCCTCACACTCTGGCCACTGCTCTACCAAAATGACAGAGCAGCTCTGACCGCCACTCGCCCGCCCACCCAGGCCACAGCCAGAGCCTCCGCATAGCCCCACCCCTATTTTCCAGGGGGGTTGTAATTTATGAGCTGAGGAAGATGGCCAGACTTCCAGAGGACTGACCATCTCCCACCCTCTTTCCTCCCTGCCTTCTTCCTCACTCACACTTTTTTTGTACATCTGGGCCCTGCGTTTTTATTCTGTTTATTATATGTCTCTGTCTATATTTGTGTGTGTGTGTGTGTGTGTGTGTGTGTGTGGCATTTGGCTACCACTAGGGCCCTGTCAGTCTCTGTCCTTTTTTCCTCCCTGACTGCCCGCCCACCTGCCTGCCTGTGTGTCTCTGTGAGAATCCTCAGGGCTGTGAGGGGATGTCATGAGCTAAAAAAGCCCACCTTCCCTGTCTCACGGCTCCTCTCAGCACTCAGAAGCCCCTTCCATTGAGCCAGACTGGGCAGAGGGGCTTCTGAGATTCAGTGTCTGCTGCTGCCAGAGCAGGGAGTCCCCAGTCTAGGACTTGGGGATTTTAATAGGGAGAAATTGATGGCTTCCCTTTTTCTCTCTCTCCCTCTTTTCCCTTTGAGTCTCCAAACAGGTAATGCCAAAAGCTCTCCTGTGTGACCAATAGATGTGTGGAGGGCAGTGGCAATGGGATTAGAGGACTCTTCCTGCCCCAGACTCTGACCCTTGCCACTGACCCAAAGATATCTGATGGGTTTTTCCCATGGAGACAATCCTGCTCACCTGGCTGGCCCTCTGCTCCTGCCTTTGCCAATGTACTCAGCCTGGAAGTGCTCACCTTGGCCTAGAGCTGCTCCTTGCCTGGACTTTGGCTTTTTGTTGGGCTTTAGGCACTGGTTACTAGATTGCCATCTGGGTCTGCTCAGGGTTATGTTTTCTAGCGCCTCTTGTTGCTAAGGGTGGAGGTTGCTCCTCTGAGCTGGGCTGGGACTGGAATCCCCTTCCCTGCCCCATGGCCCTAGCGCCATTGCTACAGAGCACAGCCGTGAAGGGCCTGAGGCCCAGGTTTGGAAGCCCCAATTGGGGCATCAGGTTAGGCAGGTAGAGGGGAGTGAAAGAGATTCTTCTATGCTTAGCACAGAGCATTCAGCCCTCTAGAAGTATCCCTGCCTGGAGTGGCAGCTGGGGTCATATAGGCCATAGGTGGTGACATAGGCCCCAGCCAGGCAGGACTCAGCTCTGAACTAAAGCCCTCCTTGTAGGGTGGGCTGATGAGCAGGGGTTGTTCCTTCTCTAGCTGGGGCAGACACCCAGCTGGCTGGGTCTTTCCTCAGCCTTACCTCCTTCCTGTCCCCAACTTTCTCCTTTCCTTCTGGTTCCTGACTGCTGGTCCCTGCTCCTCCTCACCTTCCAGCTCTTTCTACTTACCACTGACCCATGGCCATGGACTGATCAGACCAGCATCAAAATAAAAGTTTGTTCCAAGTTGACAGTGTCGTGTTCCCTGCCCAGCCCCTCCAGGTGGAGGTGCTGCCATGGGAGCTCATTGTTCTGCCTGCCTTCAAGCCCCTGGCACCAGCTGGGAGTAGGAGCAAGCCCAAGTTAGGGCTCCTTCACCAGCTGTGTGACACAGGGCACATTACCACTTCTCTGAACCTCAGTTTACGCACCTACAGCAAGAGGCAGATCCCACCAGGGTTGTACACATTCAGTGAGAATGTAGGTGAGACCTTGGTTTGCCCTGAACGTGCAATGTGCTAGCTCAGTGAGTGGGTCACCATGCTGTTAACCATCCACACCACCTCTGTGCCCTGTGCAAGCTTAGAAGAGGAGACGTGGCACTGACATGTTTGCTGCAGCTGGGACTGCCAGGGGGTCTTATGCTCCATGTTCTTTGATGTTCATAGCTGCCATATCTGAGGTACATGTAGAAGTCATTTGTTCTGTTTTTCTAGTTAAGGAAACTGAAGCTCAGAGAGAAACATCACATGTCACCAGCAGGTGTTAACTCCAGTACCAGCCTTATCCCCACACTTTTCCCATTCAGCTGCTCCAGCTTGTCCTCTGGCCCTTGCTGATCCCTTGTCAGGTGGCTGTTGCCCTCTTGCTCTGCCTTGGCTCTGCTTCCAGGGGCTGCTGCCCACTGAGGCCTCCAGCATCCAATGCCCTGGCATGGCAGGGGCCATGGAATGTGTGTGTCCGCAGGACTTAGCTGTGACAGAACCTCATTTAGTCTGAGCTCTTTTGTCCCAAGAGCGGCTATGGTTGCCAAAACCATTCTTTGTATTTGGGAGGCCTGACCACCGCCCTTGCCTCTGCCCTCAGACACTAAGGAGGGTGGGTGTGGATCTGTGTAGTCACCAGGCGCACACCAGGCCAGCAGGGGGCTGACCATATCAAGTGTTTTACTGTTCACAGGGACAACAAAAGCCCCTAGAGATCTCAGCCCTCCCAACTATCTATTTGGAACAAAACACCAGCCCTTTTGTAGTTGATGAAGAATAAAGTGAATCCAGTTTATCTCGAATGGCAAGGCCTGACCTTTCTGTCTATGCAGCAGGTGTTTGTGGCATCTTTACCAGGAGTAAGGACTGTGGTGGTGGGACGAGGACAGAAGTGGCCAGATCCTCTGCTTCACAGTCAGGATCACTGTGCCACCTTATTGGCCACTCTGGCACAGAGATGAGGTAATGGGACTATGCCTGGTGCAGGGGCTGCACAGGTCTGATGGGGCTGGGGGAGGTGCTGCCAGATCTTCGTGTGGGCAGACAGCAGGTGCTCAAGCCCAGGCGGGCATGCAAAGAGGCATAGAGCTCTGATGGCTTCGGAGACTTACTCATGGGTGCCTCTTAGGGTTATCTTCTTTGTTGAAAATGGCACTAGAGGCAGAGCAGGTGTTTAGTGAAGTGGGGTAGGTGACATGGAACCTAAAGACTCTAGGCTGGATCTGTGCTCCACCTAGCCCCTCTCCTGTGTCTGTCCCCACAATCCTCCATATTGACTGGTCCCTGCCTCTTTTTCTTTTTTTTGAGACAGAATCTCACTTTGTTACCCTTGGTAGAGTGCTGTGGCATCATAGCTCACAGCAACCTCAAACTCTTGGGCTCAAGCAATTCTCTTTTTTTTTTTTTTTT